TGAAAAGCTGAATTTAACAGTTTTAAATTGCACGTGAACAGGGAACATCTGCCTGAAATTTCAGCCTTCTAGCTCTTCTGGTTGCCGAGTTAGTAATTTTCCTGCAGAAAATTTCATATCCCCTTACGTGAGTACCATGCATAGCTTGGGGCTGAGTTTAAAATATCTGAGTTGTAGTTGGATAGGGAACATTCCTCCAAAATTTCAGCTTTCTAGCTTTCCTGGTGCCCAAGTTAGCAATTTCCCCTCTAAAACTTTCATACGCTCTTACATGAGTACCACGCATACGTCGAGGCTGAATTTGAAATCTTTAGCTAGTACATGCAGAGGGAATATCTCTACAAAGTTTCGGCCCCTCTGCTCATGTAGTTCCCGAGATCGCTTTCCCGCCAAAAAATTCGCATATTTTTTTAAAACGTCCATACGCGGCACCTAGGCGTCCGAGCGGGATGAAATTAAAACGGGAGGGTCGCGCATGGTAATGGACACATATCCCCAAAGTTTCAGCTTTCTAGCTTTTCTGGGTCTCGAGTTGAAAATGGGTGACAAAAAGTGTGAACACACAGACAGCCTCTTCCCAATATGCGTTTTTGCAATTTACATATATGCAAAACCGCATAACCAGCTTTCACGCTCGCCTCAGTCTCACGTACAAGCACGCGAAATTTTTGACACTAAAACTGTTACTTCAGGAACTAGAAAAGTTAGGAAACTGAGATTTAGAAGAATGTTCCCATACGCATATGATCCTACAAACTCAAACTCAGCTCTCCTTCTCGCATGCCTCAATCTCACATCGAGACAATTGAAATTTTTGGGGTAAAATTAATAACTCGGGGACCATGATCACCAGGAGTCTGAAATTTCAGAATAATGTTCCTACCTCATATAAATTCAAACCCCATGCACGCCTAAGTCTCAGGTATGGATACGCGAATGTTTTTGCTTCAAAATTAGTAACTCGGGAATAACAAAAATTTTTGCACCTATCAAAGAATAATGTAGTGGACACATTCAACAGTAAGTCTCTCCTGAACGGTATTGCACAGACCTCAGCTAGACAGGTTGCAAAAAATGCACGATCGCATCAGCTGTTGTACAGAAAGTCGAGGGCTTGCCTCCACCACAAGGGCAACCAGCTCTTCTGTCAGTCGTTCATTGTTATGATGGGAAATTGGTACTTGGCCATGGCAGGAATTCAAACTCGCCATCAGCTTGCTTGAAAGAGAGTGTGTTGCTGTTGGCAGTTGCTATTTCTCGGGCTATTTTTCTGGTGCCTTCGTCTTTCATAAAAGACGCGTATGGAGAGGGTTTTGGCCTTTATAAGACATCCAATCCAACATCTGTCATAGCAACTCTTTCGGCACCGTATGCTCCGTACACTTTCACTCAGAAACCTGCAATTTGTCCGGGATATTCTAATAGGTTTTATTTTCCATCGAACGTTTTTTCCGCTGAAGTACTGCTCCTCTGTCGCTCCCTCTGAGCATTTGGATCTCCCTCTTCTTCTAAATCACCAATGCCCCTCCCCCTCCCCTCCCTCCCCGCGCTCTTTTTCATGCTCCCTCGGCCAACAGCCAAGACCCACCTTCACCTTCGTACCAAATCGCCGCGTGGCAAGACAGGTAGAAGCACTGTTTACGCAATTCAGCAAAAAAGCTTAGCTAAGCCGAGCAGATTAATTCATTCACCAGAAACTGCGTGGGCGCCGAAGCGCCAACGAAGTGATCCGTGCAGGATGCCCCGTGAGCAATGTATGCTTTAGCTTTTGCGGACAATCAGAACTGGGCTGCCGCAGGCGTGCTACCGGACGTGCACACCGCAGAGCCGCCACAGCAACGCACCTCCGTCCACCTAGGCCCTCGTTTTGTCATCTAATTTGGTAAGAAAGGGCAAAGGGCGCGGGCAGCGGTGAGGTACTGCGGGAGCTGAGGAGAGTCGGCAGACAGCACAGCGTGCTGCTGCTGCTGCACTGGCCTGTTCCGGCATTTCCTGTTCAGGAATCTTTTGTCGGCGCGGTTCCACTGCTGCTTGCTGTTGATTTGGTGCGTGGCCTGTTCGGAGCGTCGCCATGCGAGACAGGCTGAGCGACCTGCAGCACGTTTGTTTTTGCTTTTATTCATTCTGACGGTGGCGGGTCCTCGTAGGGTTTGTTGAGGGGCGTCTGGGCTGGGACTGCGAGCGGTTTGGCGCTGAGCCGCCGCCCCGCTGTTTTAAGGTTGCAGAGTCTGGCTGGTCCTGGCACTGATTTTGGCAGTTTTCAGGGTGCTACAACAAAAGAGATGAAGCGAAGTTCGTTGTTTGGAAAGTATGGCAGCGGCGGGCAGTGGCAAGCGCCCGAGCAGGTGCGTCTGCTCTATGATCCGAGCAGCAAGGAGGTGGATGCGGTAAGTGGATGTGCGGTGAAACTCGAGCGGCCTCCCCTCTCCTATTTCGGTCTGTTTTTATTGCAGTTCCTAACACGGGTCGATCGACTGGTGGATGATATGAATACGATGGATGCACTGTTTATTCAGATTAAGAAGGGGCATTCGAAGATTCTCGCGGAGCCGGGCGATCACTCTGGTATTTTTCTCCTCAACTCTCTGCTGTCGTCGTTTAACAAGCTTCAGCTGGAGGAAGATGAACCGGACAGCCGTTGTGATGTGTCAGTGCTGAGAATGTTTTGTTTAAATTAGACAGCATGTATGCTTCGAAGTACCATTATTACTTCCTTCATTGAAATGCTCGGTTTTAGATGTTGTGAGGTGCAAATACCCCAGATCCGGCAGTATCACGTGAACTTTTTGGCCCAACTACTTGGATCTAGCACACTACTTGCTTTTTTTTGCAACATGGCACTTCCGAGTTGGTGTCGGTCTGCTATTGCCAAACATATACAAGCGATGCGTAAACGATGAGTACGGGGAAAGATGCTTGCATTGCTGGCAATCTGTAGACACTGCGTGTTGGTGACTGATAGCCGCAAGGAAATAAGTGATCACTGGGCCTAGGAAGGGTCGCGTGGACGATAGCTGCAGATGCGGAAGTTTAGGATCGAAGAGCCTGGCTAGTTACGCGTGGGAGCATCCTTGTAGCATCACTAGCAGATAACACCGGCACCGTTGTCTAGACGTTTGTCTGCAGTATAAATATTTGCATTTCGCCGGTGGCACCAAAATGTTTGCAGCAATGCCGTTACCACCTTGCATAGTGCATCTGGACGAAGTGAATAGTAGTATGAGTGGTCCAGAGAAAGTCGACTTTGCAGGATGCTCAGAGTGCAGTTGAGAGTGATAACCAGCTGCTCGTAGAGCTGCTTTTCCGTTCCTCAGCTGACCAGCGAGTAGCCAGGCCTAGTTTTTTGATTAAACGCACTTGGCACTAGTACATGCAGCAGAGTATGCGAGAGGCAGCTGCATCCTCTGTGTTATTTCATCTGTAACACTGTTCAAATTTGGCTGTCATTTCCCGAATGCCTGTGCCGTCGCACTGGGAGTTTCGGATCTGCGGAAGTCCCGTGCTTGCCGCTCCGCGGTGTTGAACAGCACGCTCACAGCATCACGGGTGACCACGACATCCACCCAGTGGACCGGTTTTTTCGCTGTTGCCGAGAGCTCCCAGTGATAGTGTAGTTGCTTTTATGGCTTACTGCATGCGCCTTTCATTGCAGAGCTGAAGGCACGTCTGGATTCAACAGTGCAAACCTATACGTCGATGCTGGGCAGCACTCAGAGTGCCTTAAAAAGTGAGGTGCTTTTTATGCCATATGTTTCGTTGTGCTTGTCACTTGAACTTCACTGTTTCCAGTTTCCTCAGCTGCTTGGTTTTCCCTTTTCTGCTAACTCAAGCAATTTTGGGCATTCATTATTTCGCTTTTTGCATTGTTTAAGGCTTGAAAGCGGATGTTGAAAAGGAGTTTGGAAAGTCCACCAACCAAACGGCACCGACTGCTGAAGCACGTATCAAAAGAAACCAGGTACTCCAAGGGCCACATTCTTTTTTTATGCACTGGCCAGTCAGACAGAAGTTAAAAGTGTTTCAGTTGTCTCCTCGGTGCTTCTCACACATTTTGATAATCTGGCACTCCTGCGCATAAATTGTACTGTTTCTGCTGTATCCAAACTTTAGTGTTTCTTACTCAAACATTTTCAGCCAAAACGGCAGCTCTTTGATGGAATTATGCGATTTTTTTAAATCAGTTTTCGTTTCCTTGAGCTTAATTATGCCATCATTGGTGACATTTTACCGTTCTTTCCTTCATCGTTGTGCACAAAATCTCTGCACCTTTTGTCATACTGATTGCTCCACAGTTCTTGCAGTTTTTTCAAATCTCAGTTTAAATTATGTTCGTTTCTCATAGATTCACTGTTTCTGTGTTTAAGGTGATGGCGCTGACAAAGAAGTTCGAGCACCTCTTATTTGGTTTTAATGAAGAGCAGTTAGCCTACAGGAGCAGATGCAGACATAAATTCATATCGTATTTGAAAATTTGTAAGTTCCTTCTTAAATAGTTTCGTCTTCATCCCATATGTCTGGCACATATGTTTTGGCCGGAAGGAGCATGCATTCAGTTTTGTCGTATTGGAAACAATGGCATACGGATGCTAAATGCGGTCATTGATGGATGCTGGCTGTACGGGAGATCTTTGCATTAAGAATGTATGACTACTAGAGCAACAATTAGCACGCCGGATGTTCACGTAGTATTTAAAGCAGAATAAAATTTGGCAGATAAGGCGTTTTGTTTTGTTATGTTAATGTTTGCTGGGTGTTGGCTGTACAGCGAGAAGTTAAGCGATCACATCAATGACCTCTGATGAGCCGGCATGCACTAGAAGCGTTCACTGCAAACAGAACTGAAGGCATTCGCCTCAGGCTCTTCGCTTATATCTCTATAGTCAGAACTCCAAATTTGCAGTTTAGGCGATCATTCATCTTTGTAATATTTTGCACATTATCGGTGAATATGTGTTTTTTTTTCTCAGATTCAGAATTGCAGTACTTATTATTACAGCTTGATCCTGTGCAGTTAAAAATTGACTTAAAATTGCTGTTTCCTAGTCTGATATACGTGAAGGAGCATTGAGGCCATCTCATACGTGAGCGTGTGTATGTGCATGTATGAGGATAAAAATTTGGGAAAATATTTCATAAAACTTGTTTGAGGCAGCAGAAATGAAACAAACTCTCCAGTTTTTCTGTCTCCTGACCTGTTAACTCAGGTTTAAATTTAAGCTAATATTACCTGATCTGGCGCTTGTTCTGTTTTTTGTTTTGCTTTACTTGGTATTGGTTTGAGGGGAACGGACCTTTTCCCAAAGAACTTGTTCAAATGCGATTTGCTGCTTAGAGCCTGCCAGTTCTGAAACTTTTATCGAGTTCAGTTGCACCAACTTTCAGCAGATCCTATCAAAGAAAGCGTGATCTTAGCAACTTTTTGGTCCGATAAAATCGCCCATGCTTTTCACTACTGACTCATTTTACTGACTAACTTATCCAGGCAACTAATTGAACTAAGTGAGCTTAAACTTTAGCAAACTTCACCGTCAATGATAAAGAACTCGATCATGCCATTAGAACAGCATCTTTATCGGAATATACCAAAAGGGTTAGTTCTTTAAAAAAAAAAAAACAATTTTGCTGTTAACACAGTTGGTTGTTTCTATTCAGTAATCTTTTCAGCGCAGAATTTGCAGAATGCTGTAGGAGGATAAGGCACTTTTAATGAAAAGGATTAAAACAACTTTAATTACGGAATGAAGAAGGATTAAATATTGATATACTTCGTCAATTTTTTTCTGCTTTTTGATCTTTTTTATGCGTTTTGTGCTGTGTAACAGCAGTACAAAACGCATATTGTCACAGAGTTGTCTGTGTGTTTGTGTGTGTGTTTGTGTGTGTATGTATTTGTGTTTGTGTGTGTGCTTGTGTGTGTCTATGTATTTGTGTTTGTGTGTGTGTTTGTTTGTGTGTGTTTGTGTGTGTGTGTTTGTGTGTGCTTGTGTGTGTGTTTGTGTGTGTGTTTTGTGTGTGTGTTTTGTGTGTGTGTTTGTGTGTGTGTGTTTGTGTGTGTGTGTTTGTGTGTGTGTTTGTGTGTGTGTATTTGTGTGTGTGTTTGTGTATGTGTTTGTGTGTGTGTTTGTATGTGTGTGTGTTTGTGTGTGTGTGTGTG